TGTTACTTTGCCAATCGCGAGACTTTATTCAAAAACGTCCAGAACACTTGCACTCGTGACTCGCTTAACGAAACACGAAAAAACCTTTTACTAAAACACTCATAAATTATTGTTCTAAAATAAAACCTCATTTCTTTTAATATCCCTCGGCTATCACAGACTAGACACATCCAGTACGCAAGGCCTTATTTTCCAACAATAGCTTCGTCTGCAGTCTAGACAGTTCATTACCGGCTCCGCTTCCACTACAAGTAGACACCATGGAAAGCTTCACAATGAATATTGAAACGTAACACCGGAAACTTACGTTTTATTTTCGGAAAACTACATAAATGGAACCGCGGTACGTGATCAAAACTTTATATTACGTTTGTACGGAAATAAAGTCACCAAAAGTCCATAGAAATTGGTTGCGGGTTGCAGATAACTAACTTTTAGTTCGATTTGGGATATATTTACGTTTGAGGATGGTGTGTTACAGTTCAGTACCTGTAAATGCCTGTAAAATATCAAGAAAGCACGAGCATATATAGGAGAGATCATAAAGACCGATTACATTTACATATATATATGTAAGAAAAACTCGCTCTAGTTTCACATAGGATTCTAGAAATTTTGTTTCATGACAGCTTTCCCCTAATACTTATTCATCACAACACAAAATTCAAATCAATCGAAACGACTGCCCGACTGCTGCACATATTATAAAAATATTTTTTCATAATGATAATTCTACCAAAACAATACATCAAAACATTTAGTTATTAAACCTCCTCTAACCCTAGACGTTTCACAAGCCACACAACAAAGGGAACAAACCCATTGTTTGGTGTGAAGTTTATTTACTGCGCAGTCCTGAGAGACGTGGCTTTGTGGCGGATGAGACGACAGCCGACAGTTTCCGTACCACAAGTAGGTACTGCACGACTGCACATCGAACCACACGAAACCAGTTTATCATGCTCTCGCTTCGTAGGATCTTTCCGCACATTGGAAGGTCAGTTTATACTGGGCACTAAGTGCACACTGGGTATACAAGAGCTGTCACAGACTGCTAGCTGACATCGTCGACGCCACAGAAAAAGAAATTGCTGTACAATACCCGGGGAATAATATTGCACATTTTGCGTTTTTTATCGACGTTTAAGATGTATTCGTGTTTTTCCATAAGAAGTTTGCAATTACCTTCCATTTAGTTTCATCGAAAGTATCGTAAAGTACTGGCCGAGTGGTCGCAAGTGTGACTACCGGACAAGGTCCCTCAGGTTCGATTCCCGGATCGGGAAAATTATTCCTGGGTTTAAAAAAACTCTCAATAGTAGCACGGAGTCTGGAATTGTCCCTGGTATATGGCAATAGGCTCACCCCCTATTACATCGGACTTATAACATAAATAGTGAAAAGTGGGAGTTACATTGTACAGTGGCACGTCTGCCTACCCTTTCGGGTATCAAAAGGGGTGATGTTATGTTATGTTATCGTAATGTATTTTTCTCAGTATCTTTTCAAAAACATTGTAAACATATGCGCAATATTTATCACCTGGTACTATACATCTTTAATATTTCATGCGGTGTAGCGATGTAGCCGCCATTGACAGGAAAATAAATAGACACAACGATCGATTATTACTTTAGAAAATGAAGAACTTTGGGGGAGTAAACTTCAGTTGTTTAGACTGTTACACTGACTCTTGTGACCTTACTGACTTGGAAACGTCGAGAGACATTCAGTTCCTGGTGGCAAACATGGTCTATGTGTTTATCTTTGGGAATACATATGTATTAAGCCGGGGTTGGTTATCCATAAATGTTATACAGAAACTTTGTACCTAAGTTACTGAGTGATATTCGTAATTGCAACTACTTCTTATTATACGTACAAGCAATCTTAAATGATGAAAAACGTCGTAAATACTCTTCTAGCTTCCTTTATGAGTAAAAGTAGCTAGACTTTATGTTAATGCCTTTCAGCACTTAGTGTTTCACTGTCTTCCCTAACATAAAAGAAAATACATAAGTGAAAAGTGCTGTGCTTAAAACATATAGCTTTTACAGCAGAAAATGTTATATGTATGTATGAAAAATTTTAAAAATATTTATATTTACGTTAATGGTAACTTTCAATGTACCATGACTAGGATGTTTAGAAATATCTAAAGGCATAAAACTTTTTCCTTAAAACCTCGCCGTTTACAATCTGTGGTCGTGGCCTTTTGAAGCAGTTTCCCGGTTTTTACTATTTACGGCAAGTTTGATATACGATTTTCTAACATTTTCTATGAATGTATTTGATGTCAAAATTCGACCTCAACCTATTCCACAGGGTCATTGAGACTGGGCTGTTAATGATACAATCCTTGGGTGTGTTAAGTACTTAAAAAGTAATTTCTTCGTACATTTTTATAAAATTTATCACATGGAACATAAAAAATGTATAGTATGTAAATAACTACTAAATAATGACTACAATTAACCGGAAAAAAACAGTGATTTGTAGCTTTCCACTGTGCCTTTTAAATGTCAATTAGTACGCTTGATCGATATTCCCTAATTGCGTTCTGCCATTAAAATTATATCTGATATTGTCAAGAGATATAGTTTGTGTTAAAATTAGAAATTTTGGTTGCCATAACATGAAATTGTACCTGTATTAGTGGAATATCTTTTTGTTTTTCATGAAAATAAGGTAAATAATTATACTTCATCATCATCACTACATAGTATAAAACAAAGTCGCTATCCGCCGTCTGTCTGTCCCTATGTATGCTTAGATCTTTAAAACTACGCAACGGATTTTGACGCGGCTTTTTTAATAAATAGAGTGATTCTTGAGGAAGGTATAATACATGTATATCGCACCCGTGTGAAGTCGGGGCGAGTCGCTAGTAATTTATAAAGGCGGGCGGCTATACACCATTGGCGGTACCTACTCGTTATCTCTTCAGGAAAAATAGACATGACAATAGTTACAAACAAGAGTAGGTAAATAAAACTATAACTCACCATTCCCAAAGATGCACGAGGCAGTCGAACATGACGCACCCATGTTCCGTGCTCATGCACGACGGTTGTGTCGCGGTCGCCATCTTGAAATCTTCCCGCGAAAAACTCCTAACCTCACATTCGATATAATTTCACTAACATAAGGTCCACACTTTGAAACAATCCGTTGTTTGCGACGCCTACCAATTTCGTGAAGTTATTCTCTGGAAAGAGAAAAGTGCCAATTAGATTTGATAAGGTCGTGATGAAATGAGATGAAAGTGAAATTATAGATGGCGGTGGTCTCGCAAAGTAACCTTACCTACCTACTTTAAGTGACAATACTTTGACTGGAAATTTGTATCTCTCTCACTAAAGGTTGCAAATGATTACGTGTGTACGTAAAACGTGTTCAGCCAATTACTATGAACCGAAGTAAACGGTTCAATTACAGGCATCGTGGATAGATAATACACAAAAATTGAATAACAACACACACCAAGTATCCCAATTATGGTAATAATATGATTACAGTCATTGATCAAAGTGTTGTGGTATTAAAGTAAATAATTAATTTTGTAAAATAGGTAGAAGTAGAAATGTTAAGTGAAAAACAAGTAGTCTTTGAACTAGGGCTAAAATTTACTTAAAGAGGTTTGCGTGCATGTAGGTTTCATGTTCTATATTGTTTTGCATATTCACGTTGTTCATGTTTCACTATAAGGTTTAAGTATTATCCCATCTCATTTAACAGTGACGAACAGCTTTGAACATCTTGTTTCAAACTACCCGCACCATCTCGAAACGACAAACTTCTTACAAAACTTAACTATGTTAGACAATTCTAAGTTCTATGGAAATTATTATTCCTCTAAAACAACAGTTTGCAACACAAGTAGTGTTATCTTTAGATTGACAGAATTCCACTTGGAAACGTTTTGGTCAACCGCAACTTGAACGACAACTATTTGTGGTAAAATAACGGTTTATTTATCGTTTTATTCAAAACAACTTGTTATGAACACCATCACTATAAAGAAAAGTGCATTGCCTGCTATGATCACATTTGGGTCACCGTTAATAGCGTTAAAACTAACGATTTAAACCCTGCAGTAGTCGTTATTTTTTTAAACGACGTAAATATCCAACATAGGCACTTACTGACTGTACATTTAGACTAGCGATTTAATAAAAAAGAATCGACAAACGTGTCGTAACTTTGAATGACATGAATACATTCAGTACATACAGAAGTACTTAAACCTAAGAATAGAAGAAGCTTTCTTTCATCTACTTTGGTGTTATTTTGACACCTTTTGTAAAACAAATGAAATGAATTTACTCTTCGCCACTTCGCATTAACTTAGGGCTCGTACACAAAACTGCAATGCGATGCGATGCGAATTCATGCGACAAGGCGTCTCCCAGGATGACCATTCCTTCGACGACCGTCAACCGTACTAAACTTATTTTAAATTGAAAACTTGGTCGTGACATAGATCGTTAAAACAAGTGTGCACTTCTGTTATTACTTAGGGTATACAGGAAAAAGAAACAAAGAAGATTTTGGAAAGGTAAGATTTTGATGCGCGTTGCGAATCAATCCGCAAGTTCTTGCGATGCGTAGAGGGAGCATCGCAGTTTTGTGTACGAGCCCTTAAGTTTAATTAGAATAACACACTTATAAATTACAAATTCGGACTACCTAACAATGGGTTCAGAAAACCATGGCATCCCAAATTGAAATAGTACTTTCAAACTTAATTAGTTGAACGTAACTACTGATGACCAGATAGATGAAGAGCATACTATATAGGTACTTAACTATATTAGCATACCAGATACTGTTTAAGGTACACGTTGTCAGCAATCTATGTCGCGATACAAGTACATACTTCGAACAGGCAAGGAGATAGTAGGACACTTAATAATTCACAATGGGCCGTGTAGCGGTCGCCGACCGACGCGATTTGCTCTATTTCAACCGACGACCGTCATCAAGGTTGCCATTACCTTGTATTATGGCAAATTAATGAGACAAACTCTTCGTATAAAATGGAAGAACTTAATGTAAGAGATGGCAGCCCTGCATACGTAATGGTCAAACGACGCCGACGCTAAGTTTGAATTGATTTTAGTCACGCAAACTAACAAACATGTCTTCGACGGTTAAATGGAACGATTGTAGACTTAAGAACTTAACCGTCATACATCAATCTATATTTCAGACCCTCCAGTAAGCTTAATATTATTCTGTACGAAATCAGTAGATAATCAAAATATGGATCCCAAATTATAACATTACCAAGATTTGCATGATAAGATAACCTAACCCTACCACAATCCTATATCATACTGATTTCCCTACGGAACCTTCATTTATATGCACAACCCAGCTTCTGACAAACAAACTTCAATATCATACATTTTTAAAACAAAAAATGCATTAGCCAAACTTTAAAGAGTTTCAAGACGAGACGTGACGAAGTCAAAGTCAAAATCATTTATTTCAATTAGACCAAGAAGGTACCTAATTTTGAACGTCAAAACAAAATATTTCATTATTAAAGAAAAAATGACAAACTGTCAGTCAGTCCTCTAGTGAAGCTATTGGCTCGACGATGACTACGACGTTCCTAAAACATAGACAAACTTGTAACTCTTATCCCGTACGCCGCGTAAATGTTGTAACTCGTAAGACGACTGATAAAACTGGTTGTACTTACTATGACATACTTAATACAGGTGGCTGCAAGTATGCAGTCTTATTGGAATCTTGAAATCTCACAATTTATGACCGTCTTTGACATTTTGTGACACCGCACATTGTTAGCAAGATGGAACTTTCTCGAGCCTGGGCTTATTGCTACATAGTTAACATTGCTTACAGTTTATACTAACTGCACAATATCCTTGGAACTCCGATGATATAGACAATGAAATTTATTATGTACATTCCTAATCCACCAAAATAATAATGCAATAAACACTTAGACCTCCCTTAGATGATAAATTATATCGCCTTCATAAAAATTCAATTACAATTTATTAAACCAGAAATGCAATACCATAAAATGGAAATCTCCCCACACTACAAGCGGTTCCCAATAACTGCACCCTTATCTAATTCAAGGCGCACCATGGAAAATTTGCAAATTCAGATGCAAACGCGACAAGAGAGGGCCATCTTGCCCCGAGCGAGTTTTTATGAAGTAGAAATTTTTCATATGTTGTTTTATTGAAACAGTATAATATGTTTCTTGCCATAGCAGAAATACAGTGGGCATACGTGTATGGTTGACCTTTTAGGTACAAAAACATTGTGATAATAATGCTCAATTTCATACTGGCCTTATTATAACAGAGGCAGCGCTAAAACAGAAAGTTAATCATTTTAAATACTAAACGAAATGTGAAAATACTAAATGAAACATAAATTGTGAAAAGTGGGTGTTACATTGCACAGTGGTATAATGTGCACCTCTGCCTACCCCTTCGGGGATAAAAGGCGTGATGTTATGTTACGTTACTAAACGAAATGTTTATACACAAAAGTATAGTTCTGTGACATTGACTTTGGCGACGGCTCCCTAAATAATAAGGTCCAGTGAGCACCCTTTACGAACAGACCCCTAAACAAAACATTGCTACAATCAAACTTGTCTTAGTCTACCAGCAATTCAAATGTAGATATAGAAAGGTACAACTTTAGAAATTACTTACTGAATAACAGACCCGAAGTTTGAACACTAACAATTACAAATCAAGGTCTAATTTACCTCTACTAAAAATTTCACTTAAACAATTCCATTACAACTAAATACACTTAAAGTTCGTATTGAGTTACATTACTTTACGTTTTTAACGTTAGCATTTTACTTAGCCACTTTTCGTAATACCCTTAAGATTCGTGTATTGTATTGTCCGTTACAGGATTACACCGTCGGCTGACAAGTAATGCCGATTACAGGAGGAATGTAAACAGTCAGTACCTAGTAGTATTGTATCTGTGTCAAAACCGACAGTTATCAGATGATCGCAGACAGTGAAAGTGTCCCTGGCCCTACCGATCGGTTAGCGGTACTTTAGTTAAGTACCTTTACACTGAAGACACCATCTCTTTGCTTTTATGAAGACTTCCAACTTTTTGAGAGTTGTTGAGATGTTTTTTTAAG